ATTATTTGTTTCCGCCTGTAAATATGCTGGCATTGTAACTAGCATGCATGTTGCTTCGTGCAATTGACAATAAAGATTCTTTTTTTAAGTGTTTTTTCCTTTCAGAAAACACTTTCTGAATCCAAATCTATAATATGTATACAATTTTAATTTTCTTAACGGGATTTTAAATGATTTATCTTGATTTAAATAACTATCATACTATAATTCGTACCTACTAATAATTTATAGAAAACTTTCAATAAAGATTTTTTAATCCCCAAAAAAAAACAGAACACAAAACTGAATAACTAGAAACAAGTTTTCGGTCACAAAACATGCAGGTCATGATGAATTAACAATAATAGAGATACTATAATGTTATCTCTTTCTCTTACTATAGTATTATGATCAATATATCGAAAAAAAATTATCGAATGATTTATATGATTTTTTTTGGTCATGTTGAGATTTATTTCGTTACAAATTAAATGACCACACTATAGTACTATCGCACGTCTTCTCTAGGTTTTCGTGCGTAGTTTGTTTTTCTTATTTTTGATTAAGGAACGGATGGTGACTTCTTTAGGAATAAAAATACAACTGTTAATCTGCTGTTACAATCTTTCCTAAGCATGGTTAGGGGTTTGATTACATCACTACAACTATAATTTTTTTTTTTTTGTCGACCACTACAATTATAATTTAATAAGTAAAAATTAGATATTTTGTTTTTCTTTCTATAAACTAGTATATTAACACTTCCAACCCCCAAAAATAATATAATTATCAAATGGAACCTTTGAATCCATGCAAAGACATAGTCACAATCACATAGAGAAGAAGGACCCACGCTAGACTCGACCCCATGTATGAATATAATGTAATATATCACACCGTGACTTTCTTGGCTTGATTATTGCATCCCACCATGTGGGAAAAGCTCACATTTTACCATTTTGCTCCTCGAGATCTCTCTTGGCTCACAAATTTCAAGGAAGATTCACCTATAAAATTCCGTGGGTAAACTCCATGATTAGAACTCTAGTTATAAACTTATTATCATACATGTAATAAATAAATTCTAGACAAATGGTATTTACCTCAATTTCATACTATATC